GCATTCGAGTGTATTTCCCACTTTCTCTTCTATGAGGTTCAGTGTAGTTGGCTTTATGTTGAGGTCTTTGATCCATTTGGACTTGTTTTGTGCATGGTGATAGATATGGGTCTATTTTCATTCTTCTACATGTTGATATCGTCATGACAGCACCATTTGTTAAATGTGCTTTTTTCCCCCCCACTTAATTTTTTTTTCTTCTTTATCAAAATCAGGTGTTTGAAGGTGTGTGGATTAATATTTGGGTCTTTGATTCAGTTCTGTTGGTCCTTCTGTCTGTTTTTATGCTAATACCAGGCTGTTTTCAATACTGTAGCTCTGTAGTAGAGTTTGAAGTCAGGGATTGTGATGCCTTCAGAAGTTCTTTTATTGTGCAGTATTATTTTGGCTATCCTGGGCTTTTTGCTTTTCCATATGAAGTTGAGGTCTTTCGAGGTCTGTGAAGAATTTTTCTGGGATTTTGCTGGGCATTGCATTGAATCTGTAGATTGCTTTTGTTAAGATTGCCATTTTTACTATGTTAATTCTTTCTACCCAAGAGTATGGGAGATCTTTCCACTTTCTGGTGTCTTCTTCAATTTCTTTCTTCAAAGATTTAAAGTTCTTATCATACAAGTCTTCCACTTGTTTGGTTAGAGTTACTCTGAGATATTTTATGCTATTTGTGCCTATTGTGAAGGGGGATGTTTCTCTATTTTTTTCTCAGCCCATTTATCATCTGTGTACAGAAGGGCTGTACTTGATTCTTTCAAGTTAATTTTGTATCCTGCTACGTTACTGAAAGTATTTCTGAGTTGTAGAAGTACCTTGGTAGAATTTTTGGGATTGCTTATATAAACGATCATATCATCAGCAAACAGTGAGATTTTGATTTACTCATTTTCGATTTGTATCCCCTTGATCTCCTTTTGTTGTCTTATTGCTCTAGCTAGGACCTCAAGAACTATATTGAATAGATATGGAGAGAGTGGACAACCTTGTCTTGTTCCTGATTTCAGTGTGATCACTGGGAGTTTCTCTCCATTTAGTTTGATGTTGGCTGTTGGCTTGCTATATTTTGCCTTTATTATGTTTAGGTATGTTCCTTGTATTCCTGCTCTCTCCAATACCTTTATCATGAAGGGATGTTCTACTTTGTGGAAATCTTTTTTGGCATCTAATGAGATGACTGCGTGGTTTTTATTTTTCAGTTAGTTTATATGGTGGATTATGTTGACAGATTTTTTTTTTTTTTTTTTTTTTTTTTTTGTATGTTGAACCATCCCTGCATCTTGAGATGAAACCGACTTGGTCATGGTGGATGATGGTTCTGATGTGTTCTTGGATTCAATTTGCCAGTATTTTATTCAGTATTTTTGCATGAGTGTTCATGAGTAAGATTGGTCTGTAATTCTCTTTCTTAGTAATGTTTTATGTGGTTTGGGTATCAGGGTAATTGTAGCCTCATAAAAAGAGTTTAGCAATGTTCCTTCTGTTCCTGTTGTGTGGAACAACTTGAGGAGTATTGATATTAGTTCTTCTTTGAAAATCTTGTAGAATTCTGAGCTGAAACCATCTGGTCCTGGGCTTTTTTGGTTGGGAGACTTTTGATGACTTTTTCTATTTCTTCAGCATTTATAGGTCTGCTTAATTTGCTTATCTGGCCTTGATTTAATTTTGGTAAGTGATATTTATCCAGAAAGTTGTTCTTTTCCTTTAAGTTTTCCAATTTTTTGAAGTACAGGGTTTTCAAAATATGACCTGATGATTCTCTGTATTTCCTCTATGTCTGTTGTTTATGCTTCTTTTAATTTTCTGATTTTGTTAATTTGGGTATTCTCTGCCATTTAGTTAGTTTGGGTAAAGGTTTATTTATTTTGTTAGTTTTCTCGAAGATCCAACTCTTTGTCTCATTGATTCTTTGTATTGTAGTCTTTGTTTCTATTTTGTTGATTTCAGCTCTCAATTTGATTGTTTCCTGCCCTCTAGTTCTCTTGGGTGAGTTTGCTTCTTTTTGTTCTAGAGTTTTCAAAGGTTCTGTTAATTCACTAGTGTGGGAGTTTTCCAGTTTTTTCATGTAGGCATTTAGTGCTATGAACTTTCCTCTTAACACTGCTTTCATTGTGTCCCATAAATTTGGGTATGTTGTGTGGTCATTTTCATTGAATTTTAGGAAGTGTTTAATTTCTCCCTTTATCTCTTCCTTGACCCCTTTTTGATCAGGTGAGCATTGTTTAATTTCCAAAGTGTGTTTGTGGGTTTTCTGGAATTAGTATTGCCCTTAAATTTTAGTTTTAAGCCATGGTGATCTGAAAAGATACATTAGGTTATTCCAATTTTTTTTGTATTTGTTGAGATTTGTCTTGTTACCAAGTATGTGGTCAGTTTTTGAGAAGGTTCCATGAGGTGCTGAGAAAAAGGTATATTCTTTTGTGTTTGGATGGAATATTCTATAGATGCATGTTTAGTCCATTTGAGTCATAACATCTGTTAGTTCTCTTATTTCTCTGTTCATTTTTTGTTTGACTGACCTGTCCAGTGGTGAGAGGGGAGCGTTGAAGTATCCCACTATTAGTGTTTGGGGTTTAATGTATGTTTTTAAGCTTTAGAAGTGTTTGACATATGAGGGAGCCCTTGTGTTTGGGGAATAGATATTCAGTATTGAGATTTCCTCTAGATGGATTTTTCCTGTGACTAATGTGAAAATTCCTTATTTTTGTCTCTTTTGATTGATTTTAGTTTGAAGTCTATTTTGTTAAGTATTAGGATAGCCACACCAATTTGTTTCTTAGGTCCATTTGATTGGAAAATTTTTTCCATTTATCTGAGGCAATGTCTGTCTTTGAGTTTGAGGTGTGTTTCTTGTATGCAGGAGAAGGATGGATTCTGTTTTTGTGTCCAGTCTATTTGCCTGTGTCTTTTTATAGGTGAGTTGAGTCCATTTATGTTAAGGGATAATAATGACCAGTGATTGCTATCTCCTGTGAATTTATTTTTTGTTGTTGGTGATGTTAATTCGTGTGTTTTTCCCTTCTTTGTGATTTTGCTGCTATGAGACCATCAATTGTCGTTTTTGTTGATGTAGCCAACTTCCTTGGGTTAGAGTTTTCCTTCTACTATTTGTCTAGGGCTGGGTTTTTGGCTACTTATTGGTTGAATCTGGTTTTGTCATGGAATATCTTGTTTTGTCCTTCCATGGTGACTGAAAGTTTTGCTGGGTATAATAGTCTGGGCTGCCATCTGAGGTCTCTTAATGTCTGTATAACACTTGACCATGATCTTCTGTCTTTCATTGTCTCCAATGAGAAGTCAGGTGTAGTTCTGATAGGTCTGCCGTTATGTGTTACTTGGCCTTTTTCCTTTGCAGCTCTTAATATTCTTTCTTTATTCTGTAGTATGTTTAGTGTTTTGATTATTATGTGGCAAGGGGACTTTTATTTTTTGATCCAGTTTGTTTGGTGTTCTGAAAGCTTCTTGTATCTTTATAGGCATATCTTTCTTTAGGTTAAGAAAGTTTTCTTTTATGATTTTATTAAATATATTTTCTGTACTTGAGTTGAACTTTTTCTTCTATACCTATTATTCTTAGGTTTCATCTTTTTATAGTGTCCCATATTTCCTATATATTTTGGGTTAAGCTTTTGTTAGATTTAATGTTTTCTTTGAGCAATGAGTCTATTTCCTCTAATGTATCTTCAGCACTTGAGATTCTTACATCTCTTGTATTCTGCTGTTCATCCTTGCGTTTGTGGTTCCTGATGGTTTTCTCATGATTTCTGTTTCTTTAATACTCTGGCTTCTGCTTTCTTTATTGTCTCTATTTCAGTTTTCAAGTCTTGAATAGTTTTTTTCATATGTTTGATTTCTTTTTCTTAGTTTTCTTTAAGGGATTTGCTGATGTCTTCCAATTTTTTTTGTTTGTCTTTTCTTCCATTTCTTTGAGGGAATTTCTCATTTCCCCTTTCAGAGGTTCAAACATTCTCCTGAAGTTATTTTTTAAGTCATTATCTTCTGCTTCATCTATATTTGGTTGTTCAAGTCTTGCTGTTGTAGGGTCTCTAGATTTTACTGGTGTCATGTTGCTCTTTGTAGTGTTGCATGTGTTCTTACCTTGTCTACTCATCTTTTCCTCTAATTGGTGTGGTTGGGCTGTCTTTGATCCTGTTGATTAATCTTTTAAGTGCCAGTGGATTCAAGACTCTGATGGTTGTTCCTCATGGTGTACTCAGTGCCACGGTTCTAGTTACCCCGTTGGTCACTTTGTGTTTCTGGAGGTCACTCAGTGCTCCTGGTTTGCTCCGCTCCTATGGAGTTTTCTGTCTCAGGCCTGCTCTGATCTAGGTTTCCGGCTCAGATCTGTTTCTGTAAATATCCCTGGTCAGGATCTGCTCCTGTGGAGGTCCCTGGCTTAGGGTTGGTTTTGTAAAGGTCTCTGGCTCTGATATTCTCCCTTGGAGGTCACAGAACTGGGTGCACCTGGATTGGCAGCTCTCTCAGAGGTCCCAGACCTACAGAGGTTTCTGGTCCCTGCCTACTCCCTTTGACATCCCAGGCCAACGCCCATACCCACAGAGATTTCTGTTCCTGCCTGCTCCCTTGGTGGTCCTAGACTCATGTCCCTTTTTTTGGTTTTTCCAGGCAGGGTTTCTTTGTGTAGCTTTTTTTTTTTTTAATATTTTATGGTTTATTTAACTATTTTTTTTATGTGCATTGGTACAAAGGTGTCAGATCCCCTGCAACTGGATCTTCAGACAGTTGTGAGCTGCCATGTGGGTGCTGGGAATTGAACCCGGGTCCTCTGGAAGAGCAGTCAGTACTCTTAACCACTGAGCCATCTCTCCAGCCCCCTTTGTGTAGCTTTTGAACCCGTCCTAGAACTGGCTTTGTAGACTAGATTGGCTTTTGAACTCACAGAAATACACCTGCCTCTGCCTCCTGAGTGCTGGGATTAAAGGTGTGTACTGCCACCACCCAGTGAATGGGTTATCACTTTAAGCACTTTGTTTTTTGTCCCTGTGCAGGCATACTCTGTGTACGATGAAGAAATTGGTTACTGCCAGGGCCAGTCCTTCCTCGCGGCTGTGCTGCTTCTCCACGTAAGTTGAGTCTGTGTCACAACTACACAGACCTCCCTGGGCGTTAATATGGCTAAGGTTAGGTTTGGCCATATTCCTGGACAGAACTTGTATTTAGAAACTCTAACTTAATGGCTCTATGAAGAGAAACCTGATGTCTGTGTTGAGAACTAGTATAAAGTTAGATTTCCTTTTTATTTTCAGGTTAGACAGACTTCAGTATTGGTTGACATTTTGTTGTTTGTAAAATAGCCAGTCATTGATATCTGTTTGAAAATTTGTATCCTGGGAAGAGATCAGGCTTTTTCAGTATCATTCTACTCATGTGCTCGTTTAATAAAGATCTTTATTCTTCAACTTTACTTCTTGAAGTAGATAGAAAGGTCAGAAATACATTACGCTCAACAGCCATATTAAGTGGTCATCATTTGACTTCTAGTTACTGATTTATTCTTTGTCTTCATTTTTCATTTCCACAAACACAGCTTATTAGCTTTTAAAAGAAAGTAGCAAATATTTGAACCTGTCTTGTAAGGACCAGGGTGTTCTACGTCATAGCTGTAATGTGACTTCCTGCCTAGCACACGGTCCACACTCCGTGCCCCATCCCCGTGCATGTGCCCTTCATGAGCTGCTGAGGGTTCTGTTGGGCTGGGGGTTGAACCCAGGAAGGCAAACCTGCTGGGTGAATGTCCTACCTCTGAGCTCGCCACCCTGCCATATTGGGACTCTTATGACCATCTCATCCAGCAGCACATCAGATGCTGCACCTGTTTGCCTTACAAAACCACCCTGTCGTCTTTGCTTCAAACCATTGATGTGTAAGAAATAAATTAAACACATTGTCCCATAAAATGTTCAGATTCTTAATTTGCATAATCATCTCATTATTTAATATAAATGTGTGGCAAGAACACGACACAGGCAGTATCAGCAATTCTGACTGCTTCTAGAGAGATGAAGCTAAGAGTGAGCACAGGACAAGCTAGTAACGCCACCATCTGTAAGCAGATAGCTGTACAAGCATGCTTTCAGGGACATTAATAGATCCGTACAGGTAAAATGCAATGAACAGTGTAAGACTGTAACAGAGAACTTTGTTTAGATTAAAGGCTCCTTCCTCTTGGCACACTGAGAAACAAAAGAGGCTGTCACTCTGCTGTATACTTTCCAGTACCATTTGCCTTTTCCCTTGCTCTGTTGCAGTAGAAATATTTTAAAAGCATGAAAATAGAGTAGAACATTGCTGTCAAAGGGGATCATATAATATTATAGAAGCTGAAGAATTTCAAATGTATGGAATTAAAAGAGGCACAGTGTGACTGTAGTGGCAAAGAGGGAAGGAAGAAAGAGACAGAGCTAGAGAGGACAAGGGCCCACCAGGAAACCATGCAAGTCAAAATAAAGCTTCCATGTTTGCTCTCAGAGGGCAGGAAGTCTTAGAATTTTAGCCCTGTCTTCTTTCCTGTGAGCTCAGCGTGGTGATGTCTGTAGCAGGTACAGCAGAGTTACAGAATAAAACAAGGTTGGTTCTGGATCAATTAGAATATTTGGGGAAATTTGGAATATATGCTAATCCTATGGCATTAATAAACAGGTCAGTTGTTTTTTTTCTTTAATTTGATTTGTTGTTTTAGACAGATTTTATGTCTCAGTCGTGCATACATATGATTCATCTTTTATTTATTGTAGTTTCACACAAAGAACATTTATTCCCACTTAATTATCACCACCCCTTGAAAATGGCTTCCTCAAATTCTAGTCCTATTCAGAACTCCTGCTGCATCCTTTGTGTTAAGTGTTTCCAGCATCAGAAATGCCACACAAATGAAGCCACTTCTCCCTCACATGTACAGGAAATATCTCAGAAACTCTAACATTTTGTCCCATACAGCCTGTCCTTCCCAGGCTACGCTTTGTCATGTTTTGTTTTTGCTGTGCTATTTTCTCACTGGGTCCTGTGTTCTGCCCACTTCCAGTATCGTGTTCCTCAGTAGCCCTCCCACCATCTTGATTTTTCTGAAGCTTGCTACAGTTAAATGGATTCTTAATATTGCCAGTGCCTGCCTTCTGTTTTGAAACTTAGACATCTCTCCATATTCTTGGAGGCATGTTCCATAAAGTCATGAGAGATACGCTTATTCCTAATGGGCATTTGTAGACAGAACTGGAGGAGGGCAGCTCAGCGCCTCTGCCGCCACTGCTCTTGTACTGTGAGTAATAACATAGACCTGAGGGTGTGGAAGGCTCTTCTAGAATAAGCTATTCATTTGTTTTGTTTTTAGAGACAAGCTACTTTTAAGAATTATTTTTAATTTATGTGTATTTGTGTGTGCCTGCAGGACCTTATGTGCATGATAGTTCTGTAGGTACCCACAGAACCTGGAAGAGGACAGTGGATCCCCAGGAACTAGAGTTACAGATGTTTGTGAGCCGCCATGTGGGTGGTAGGAACTGAGGTCCTCTACAAGGGTAGTAAGTGATCCTAACCACTGAGCCTTCTCTCCAGCCCCACAAACTATTTCTTACTGTGATAGGAAAAAAATAATAATTTTGCTAGAATGACACTGTAGCAAAGACAGGTCAAATGACTGGAAAAACGGCCTCATTATTTCAGAGAGCTGAAACGTGCTGTTGTGTCCTCCTCTAGCCCTATCCTTTCCGCGGAACCTGGTCTTGATTCACAAGCTTTGCTGTCCTGGGTGCTCATCAGCCCTTCTACCGGTTCCTACTTCATTACACTCTTGCTCTGAGGAAGGCAGTGGTAGCATGAAGTAGGCCCTCCTTTAACATTCCTTGCCTGAGTGAATTAATGCTATTAAATAAAATTTGAGAGCTGGATTTCTGTGCGCCATTCCATTTCCTGACAGTGGAGGGATAAGCTGAAGATACTGGAGTCATTATTTTGTATCCCACTCCTCCATTGCCCATCTGATACAGATGCCCGAAGAACAGGCATTCAGTGTTCTGGTAAAGATCATGTTTGACTATGGCCTCAGGGAACTTTTCAAGCAAAATTTTGAAGATCTACATTGCAAGTTCTACCAGTTGGAGCGCCTCATGCAGGTACGGGAACTCAGGCTGGGTTGGACAGATAGGTGAAAACTCTGGCAGATAGATTGGGGAACAATGGCTTTTATTGCTGTTGTTTCTTACTATGCGATGAGGATGCAGAGATCCAACAGTGCTGGGAATCTGATATGTTTAAGCTGGGTTTTCAGTCGTAGAAAAAAACCTAAGAGCAAATTGCTTAGTCAGGTACTTTTCTATAGCAAATGCAGGGAGGAAATGTTCCCCAGGGCTACAAAGGTTGTCTGTTGACGATAACCCTACCATAGTTGAGGCAGACTTTTCCAAAACATTTCACAACTTGGAAATAAAAACTGGCTTTCCAAATACTTGTCACTGTTCTCGGGAATTCCTCTTTCTCTCAGCCAGTTTGTAGTATGGAAAATAGCCACTAAGTGTTCTGAAGCACTTCAGAGATACGCAAGTGTTTGACTGTTTGGGCTACTGCTGGCAGATTTATGAGCCTCCTAAGAAACGTAGGTGAGCTGCATATATGCCCAGAACTAATTACTTTCCTGTTTCAGGAATACATTCCTGATCTGTACAACCACTTCCTGGATATCAGCCTTGAAGCACACATGTACGCTTCCCAGTGGTTTCTTACACTTTTCACTGCAAAATTCCCTCTCTACATGGTCTTCCATATCATGGACCTGCTGCTCTGCGAGGTATGTGTCAGTGCTCACAGTCCTTAGACTCCTGCTGTAGGCTATGTCAGATCTCGTCTTTTGTTTTGTTTGGGGATTGCCAGTGTCCGGCTTGCCCTTTTCACAGAGGTTCTCTGCTGAGAAGAGACAGACAGACTACTTAGTGTTCAGTAACACTGTGACACTGAGTAAATAAAATCGGGGTTCCTGAGCCGGGCAGTGGTGGCGCACGCCTTTAATCCCAGCACTCGGGAGGCAGAGGCAGGCGGATCTCTGTGAGTTCGAGACCAGCCTGGTCTACAGAGCTAGTTCCAGGACAGGCTCCAAAGCTACAGAGAAACCCTGTCTTGAAAAACCAAAATAAATAAATAAATAAAATAGGGGTTCCTTTCTTGTGTAGAGGAAGACAGAGGTTGCAGTGTCCGGCTTTCTCAGAGTCTTATCCTTAGAATTAAGCTGTAGCTGTCATATCCGAACTTGTGTTGGGAACTGGTACCTTCCTTTTGAGGGGATGTTTGTTTGGTGTCTCCTGATGCAGAGTGCAGTTGTATGCTCGCACTCCTAGCTCTGCATTTTTCTCTTTAAAGAGAGGCCTTGATAGAGATCCCCCAGCATTCCCATGAGTAGGGTGTAGGCCGAGTTACACAACTATACTAGCTAAAGACTTGACTTGAGGTGAGGAAGAAATTTACTGAAAGTAGAGCATTGACAGTAAAAGAAACAAGGCAGTGTGAAAGATGTCCTTAGCCTTGACATAGGTTGAGATTCTAGAGGTGTGTGTATGTTAAGAAAGAAAAACCTTAGAAAAGATGTGCCCTCAGTACAAATTTCAGAAAATATGATCAAGAACAACTGAAAATACTTCAGTCTCAGTGTCTCTACAGTTTAACTACACAGCACTTTCACCTTTTTTGTACCTGTTTTTATATGCAGTATGACATTTTCCCACTGTAATGTTATATGATAATGTATTACAGTTCTACTTCTATATTTTGAAAAATATAGCCAGGCACAAGCCTTTAATCCCAGGACGCCTCAATGCAGGTGAATCTCTTAGTTCAAGGCCAGCCTGGTCTACAGAGTGAGTTCTAGACAGCCAGTGTGAAACAAAAACCTTGTCTGAAAATACCAAAATAAGAGAAGTATTAGTTCTAGAGACGAAGGCCCAGACACCTTAACTGTTTAGTGTGAAGATAGTTCACCTGTTCTGAACTACACAGCTTCCATATTGGTCAGATGAGGAAGACAGATATAGAGACCTCCAAGAAAGCTCAGGTCTCTGGGATATGTGTGATTGTCATATTAATAGATTGTATGACTATCATGTTTGGTGTGGAGTCAGTCATGGGCTGTTGGAGAACTACTCGTTCTCTCTGAGCGTCAGAACAGGGCTGGAGTGCCTGTCCATGATGGCGCTACAGCTAACAGGACAAAGTGGATACAGACACTAAAACTGTCTTGTCTCTTCTCTTTCAGGGAATAAGTGTCATTTTTAATGTCGCCCTTGGATTGCTGAAGGTACATGTCTGGGTTGTCTGGTGTCCTGCCCTGTTGCATTGTTTGTAGTTTTCATCTCACACTAAGCGGTCAGTGTGCTCTGCCATTTTCATTGGCGCAGTGTATTCAGGTTACTCTGCAAAACAGTACAGTTGTAAAATGGTTCTTGGGTATCTTCATAACAGACATTTTGTTCCTACATGTGGTTGTTTTTTCTTAATTCAAGACTTCCAAGGACGACTTGCTGCTGACAGACTTTGAGGGTGCCTTGAAGTTCTTCAGGGTTCAGCTCCCTAAAAGGTACCGCTCAGAAGAAAATGCAAAGAGGCTTATGGAGCTGGCCTGCAACACGAAGGTACACTAACTACCGTTTGTGTTAGGTCATTCTCTGTGTTTCAGTTGATGTCTCTGATGAAATCGTTAATGCTTATAATATATAATTGATAGCTCACACAGAGTGTCCTTATCTTAAATATTTGTACCGGAGTGTTTGAGAAATGGTTAGGGGCTTTCTGTTGTGTCTTGCTTTGGTAGGAGTGGCATTGTTGCTCTTTTTATTTTTACTAAACTGCCCTGGGGTTAGAACTCAAGTGTATTTCCCAAATTCATGCGTATTTTATATATAGGTTTTTTTTTTTTTTTTTTTTTTTTTTCGAGACAGGGTTTCTCTGTGGTTTTGGAGCCTGTCCTGGAACTAGCTCTTGTAGACCAGGCTGGTCTCGAACTCACAGAGATCCGCCTGCCTCTGCCTCCCGAGTGCTGGGATTAAAGACGTGCGCCACCACCGCCCAGCAGATATATAGTTTGTATATATAACCTGAAGGTCATTACAATACATTGTTGCTTAGGGTACTTTTATGTGTGGTATCCCATATAGTCAGATATGATATCATGTCAGTAATACATTTTTTTTCAGATTTATTGAGGTTGGTGATATACGCCTGTAGTCTCAGCACTCAGGAGACTGAGGCAGGAGATTCTTTAGTTTCAGTTCTGCCTGGGCTATGTAGTGAACTCCAAGAAAACCTGGTCTGCACAGCAAGACTAACTGACAAAACCAACTGAAACAAAAACAAAACAGTATTCCTTTTGAGAGCATGCAGGACTTCCCATTTTCAAATTAAGGACTCATACCCCATAATAAGGACATCTGCTTTTGTGTTGTATAACTTGCACCTTTCTGTTTTTACAAGACCTTCATAAACACTTGACATTTTCTATCTGTGGGTTTCCTGTCTATGGATTCGACCCATTGTGAAGTGAAGGTATTTGGGAAAAATACATGTATAGAACAACACAGATTATTTTTTCATTGATATTATTCCCTAAATAGTATGCCAATTAATATGCAGCATTTATATTGTGTTTAGGTATTATTGGTAATCTAGAAGTCATTTCTCTATGCATGGTAGGACGCATGCAGGTTCCACACAAACACTTTACTACTTGATATAAGGGACTGAGCATGCTCTGATTCTGGACCCAGCTCCTGTGGATCGTGAGGGAGGACTGTATATCACATCCTTGAGTTGAACCTCATTGGCCCTTACAGTCTGTTGCTGTAGGAGGAGTGTAACTGTCCAGTGTACAGAAAGATGAGACAGAAACCCTGTTGACACTGAGCTGGTTTGGAACAGATTTTGCTTTCTTGGTTTTCACTGTGTTGACTTTGACATTAATTATTGTGATCAGAAATTCTCTAAAAAGAAGTAAAAATAATAAAAAAATAAGTAAAAATATGTGGAGAACCCTCATAATCTTTTAACTTCACACGACTTTATAACTTTTATGGGTTTTATGGCTAATATATAAATGATCACGGTGTACTCATGTTTTGATAAATTTGTATTTTTAAAGAGGAAATACTATAATTGAAGGGGCTTTAATTAGAAATTTCAGGATAGAGACAGGCAGAGTAAAGGCCTAATAAAGATTGTGTTTAGGTTCACACGAGGTACAGTGAAGAGTTTGATGTCACCACTGGACTCAGATCTGAATCCAGAGCTGATTCTACCCCCAAGGCTCTGTATGAAATAACATTATCTGGGTCATGTGTCACACTAATTTAACAAAGACAACCCTCTGTTAATGCATAGAGAAATTAGGTAAAGTATGATGTAGAAAATGTCCAATATATGAATGAGAGAAATGTAAACCATGTGCCTATAAGAAAGTAGCTCAGTTAGTGTGTGTGAACCCACACATCCATATTCCAAAGCACTGTGGGACTTATAATCAGGGTCTTATTGCTCACACATAACCATGTGGGTGTGACTTTGGACCTTGAGGGGGCAGCAAGAGCTTGGAATGGCTTCCTGGTCATTAAAAGATGATAAAATATACTGAGAAAAGTAATGCTATCTGAGATTGTATACAATACGCTAGATGCCCTGGCTTTTATGTGTGGGTTAGCCATGACAGTATGTACATTGATTAATATAGTGCCTAGAAATTAGTAAAGGCTCGGGAAATGATAGCTTCTGTTTCAGCACAGTCACATGGGAATAGGTTTGTATAGGGCGCAGAGCCAAGCGAGCTCTGACACAGTCACGTGTGTTCACGTGGTTCTGCCTGTGAGAAGGCCTCTCTTCTGCCCACATTCCTTCTCCTTCCCCTGTCCTTTCTTGATGATCCTGGGATCTAGGACAGGAACATTGTTGCAACTTTTGATTCCTCTTGTTCATAGGCACTATATGAAGCGTTATCCTAATCAGTCTTAATAAATAAAACCCAGAATCAGTTACAGAGAAGTAAAGGATCAGCCACAGTCACCACGTACTTCTCCAACTGCTCAGGCTGAAAAGTGCCAAGCTCCTGTCTCCGTCCTGCCTTATCGCTTCCAGTCTGTCCAAACCTCTATGGTTACCTAGTGGCTAGCTCCACCCTCTTTGTCAGGATACAAACAAAATATCACAATACCTATCTTCACACCCCATAGCCTGTCATTAAAGTGTACCCTGATTTTGCCCACCTCAAACCACTTCCTTTCTACAGTGGCCCTCTGTTTTCCCATCCTTTTTTTCCTTTGCTTAAAAGTCTGGTGTATGTTATCACCAAACTCTGGTGTCCTGCTGAGGTGACAAGGTCTTTATAGTGTCTCTGATTCTGTCTCCTGTTTCAGATCCCCTGCTTTCTTGTGTTCTCAGACCACACTGAGTGTGTTTACCCTCTGCTCTTTACAGTGGCTAACTTTTCAACTTAGAACTTACATGGTTTCCCTTCAGATCCCAGAGATGTCTTCTCTAATCACGGCATCTAACCGCTTTCCCCAGCCCTTTATATTCACAAATTAATCGGGCCTCATTGAAACAGAGTACACCGCAGGACAGACTTACTCTTGCTTACTGCGGAGTCTCAGCAGTGCAGGTGTAGTGTCTGATGTATAAATACTGCTTGGCTGGCTGTTGAGTTTCCACCTACTCTTTTACAAACATTTGGGCAAGTCTTAAAAAGAGGTTCCAGCTCTAAGCATCATTAGTTGGAAACATGTTAGTAAATAGATGTTTTCTTCCATAGTTCAGATAAGTTCCTATCCTTTTTTGTAAGATCAGACAACAACTACCTTCACAGTGTTTGTACACCATGTATATCTCATTTGGGGTATGAAATTCCTCCCATTCCTGGAGCACTTTACCTGCTTGGGGTGCATTTTGGATGGTTCCCCCTGTTTGTGTTTACTCTAGGTGAGTCTAATTTTTTCTTGAAATTCACTCTGCAATGAAAGCCTATAGCTTACCAGGCTACAAGACACAAAGCTTCTCTGGTGAAAGATGAAGGAAAGCACGCACAGGAGTAACTCAGTCTTGCTGACATAGTGAGGAGGACAGAGGGAGTGGTTGAGTCAGGTATTGGCATAGTGGAACTGCATGGTACGGATGCAGTCTCTGGCAAATGCATCATGAGCTCTGTGTCCTGTGCTCCACCTGTGTGTGGGAGGAGGCCTTAGGGGAAATGTCAGGAAATGTCAGGATATGACATCGTGAGCTGTGCAGTTAGAGTCTCCTCTAGACATGGAAAGGGGTTTTGTGCTAAGGGACTATTGAGGTATGGAAACTAGCTTCCAAACTTTTCAACTTTTTGGTGTAGAATTTTAAAAGCTTGGCTCTGCCATTCATTGGTATGCTATTCTGTTATTTTTAAATGTTCTTAAATTGTGCTTTGTTTACTAGGTTGTACCTCCTGATTAGTGTGAGAGTTGGAAATACTTTGTCTCGTGTGACTAGAAATACTTGTGCTGTTACTGTGTTTCGGTGCTGTGATAATGCTATGATTCATAGCTATTTCTTACAAGCATCTTACTCTTCATAGCTTAGTGGGTGAGGGGAGAACAGCAGGCATGGTCTGAGACTATTGGAAGTCACATGGTTTACCAGATGGCATGAGGGCCAGTGACAGGAAGCCTGGTGAGACTCAAGCCTCTGACCTGCTCTCCCTGCCTTATACTTCCTGTTCTGAAAGAGTGCACTGATGTGGCAGTATCTGAAATGGCCACAAGATGGGTGCGTTGCTTAAAAAGCACCATGTTCTCTGGGGTCTGTGAGCCTTAATTTTCTCTACATTTCTCCCGTGCCTGTCTTTTGGTTTCTTGGGCCCTTTATGTCTTCCTTCTCTTTCTTTGTCTTCAGATGAGTGAGCTGCAGGACTGAAGGGTTTTGTCTCTTGAGAAGTTAGCACCCATGGCTCTTAATGTTAAGTTTAGTGTGTTACATGAAGGCTCACCAGTCTGTCTATCTATAAGTCAGTAGGCAGACAGAAACCTTCTCACTGCTACCCAGCATCCCTTGTTAGTCTCCTAGGAGCTCCGTGACACTTCCATGGCTGTGTGCCACACATAATTTTGAAGAGGAAAGAATGTGAAAAGAAATGTTTCTAGGCCTTTTAATTTTTGATTCAAGAAATATTGGGGATCTGTATAGAATCTCAGGACTTGGGAGGCTAGAGGCAGGAGGATTCCCAGTTCCTGGCGAGCCCTGGCTAAACTGTATAGATTTTGTATGCTGTGTGTGTGTGGTAAAAGACTAGTTTAGATAAAGAGCTCTTTGTGAGGTGGCTCTCAGATGAAGCCTGAATATCTGTTGGAATATGATATCAAATCTGAAGTGAATGCAGGACCTCAGGCTGCAGAAGCCAGGGACAGCGCTTCCTTCTCTGTCCAGCCCATTCATGATGTTAGTGGTGTTATCATGGAGTGGAATCTGAAGTGTTATGAGGGTAGTGCTCTCAAAATCCTTTTGTTTGATTTTTTTATTTTTGGTTTTTCGAGACAGGGTTTCTCTGTAGCTTTGGAGCCTGTCCAGGAACTAGCTCTTGTAGACCAGGCTGGTCTCGAACTCACAGAGATCCGCCTGCCTCTGCCTCCTTAGTGCTGGGATTAAAGGTATTTGCCATCACCGCCTGGCACTCACAGACTCAAAACATAGTGCTTCACACAGTGAAGTGGATCTCTTTAGAGACACCTAGAGTATAGGAGTAAATTACCGAGGTGTCAGATGATGGCTTGGAGATGCTGTACCTGAAAGACTGACCACACTCTGCGCGCAGACACTTTACCCAAAGCTGCGTCACCCTCTAGTGCTAGATAGGACCACAGAGCTTTTTCCATTAATGCACACATTTTAGAACTAGATTTTATTTTTTATTGCTTTATAAATAATACCAATCAAAATTCCTACTTCCTCCTTTCCTCCCACTTCCGTCCTGCTCCCCCCCACACACCCTCTCCTCTCCCCCTACAGTCCTGAGAGAGGGCAAGGTATCCTGCTCTGTGGGAAGTCCAAGGCCTTCCCCCCCCCATCCAGGCCTAGGATCCTAAAAAGCCAGTACATGCAGTAGAGACAAATCCCAGTGCCATTGTCATTGGCTTCTCAGTCAGCCCCCATTGTCAGCCACATTCAGAGGGTCCGGTTTGATCACATGCTCGTTTAGTCACAGTTCAGCTGGCCTTGGTGAGCTCCCATTAGCTCAGGCACACTGTCTCAGTGGGTGGACCAACCCCTCGAGGTCCTGACTTCCTTGCTCATCTTCTCCCTCCTGCTCTTCAACTGGACCTTGGGAGCTCAGTCCAGTGCTCTGATGTGGGTCTCTGTCTCTATCTCCATCTGTCCCCGAACGAAGGTTCCATGGTGATACTCAGTCTGACTTCTGGACAAGGCCCAGGGTCCTCGCTGGGGTCATCCCCGTGGACTCCTGGGAACCCCTCCAAAGCCAAGCCTCTTGCCAACCCCAAAATGGCTCCCTCAATTAAGATATCTCCTTCCCTGCTCCCAGAGGAAGGCCGGGTATAGAACTAGATTTTAGTGGGGAGGCGTGCGCCTTGTTTCTGGTGCTTCTTTTGTCCATGATGAGCCCCGTATGCTGCTGCTAGTGCGAGGCCAGCAACAAGCAAGCCTCCTCCTTTAAAAAGCTGGATTCCCTTGACTGTCGGCTCTTGGAGCCTTGGCAACTAATTTTTTTCTTGTACTGTAGAAAAGAATTCAGGTCAGATTCAGATGCCTGCTTCTGTCTAATGGTCCACGATTAAAGGAATACCCGATTCCTCTAAAGGACTCTGAGTCTGAGCTGTTTGAACGGAACCGTAATATACTGTTCATTTACATCAGGTATTTAGAAGGCCGACCTTGGCCTGTGTGCTGTGTGATCCAGGTAGATTAGGCAGCTGCTGCTTGTGGGCTTTTGTGACATGGCCTGTCTCCTTCATCTGGGTAGTTCAGGTCAGTGTAAACCACAGAGATGGGAGGAAACAGGGTCACCCAGACTGTGTTCTTGTGGTGTTGTCAGTCACCATTTATGCATGTTACAGCTGATACTAACTTTAGGCAATAGCCTTTGCCTTACCCATCTCGGGAAATTATTTTGAGGCATAAATAAAATAGTAGATATAGAGGCACGTCACTATCTGGAAAGTTCTATATAAGCCTTGGTAACTCAAAAGCCACAGCAGTGCCCCCAAGCATTCTTGAGCTGGAAGGAGGGCCAGTATCCAATTTCTTAATCACTTCATCAATCCTATTCACACCAGGATCCCTCCTGCACCAGACCTCTTATTTATTACCCAACACCTACCAGGTTACCCAGACTCTAGGCTTCAATCTTGTCGAGCAGCTCTTAACAGACTGCCTTACTGAACTCCCCTGTGGCTCCCATACCAGCACACCTCCTACCTCCGCAAAACTTTCTTAAGGCATTCTGGAAACCTGCTCCTCTTCTAAAGGGCCAGACTAGTTCAAGCTTTTCTGTGTAAAATGGACTTCATTTAAGTGATTTGATGTATTCACATTGTCTTAGTTAGGGTTTCTATTGCTGTGAAGAGATGCCATGCCCATAGCAACTCTTACAAAGGAAAACATTTAATTAGGGCTGTGATTGGGCCCATCATCATCATGGTGGGATGCAGGCAGACATGGTGCTGGAGCGGAGAGTCATTACATCTTGATCCAAAGGAAACAGCAAGTGAACTGTCGCACTGGGTGTAGCTCGAGCATCTATGAGACCTCAAAGCCACCTCCGCAGTGGCACACTTCCTCCAACAGAGCCACACCTCATGTGCCACTCCCTTTGGGGGCCATTTTCCTTCAAACACCACAGTTTATTGAGGGAGCTACTCTATTTCTTTCAGATAGGTTGCCAGATAATAACTGCAACAGCATGTCACAGTTACTGCTTATTGAGAAGACTCCCTCTGTGTTGCGTAGTCTTCTGAGCACTGAACATGGTAGTTTCCTGTCAGGAGATCCTCTCAACACACTCAGAAGCACTATTAGTCATCTGCCGAGACTGAAGCTATGGTGTGTTACTCACGGAGCTGAGCAGGTTGCACCTCAATAGAACCCAGGTCAGCAGCCACTCTCAGTTCTCTCTCCATCTGTGTGGACCTTGATGCCACTGTCTGCTCTCAAGGCTGACTGGGGACCAGCTTCACCAGTGCAGATAGTAGGCAGTTCTCATGGCAGATGAATGGCTAGAGGAGAGGTGTTTGGATCTGCATTGGAACTTATGCCACATAGCCGTTTAGGGGACACTGAGATACTCTGCAGGTAACAGTGCTTGCCATCAAGTCTGACAAGCCTGAGTTCGGGCCCCAGAATTCACATGGTAGAAGGAGAGAACCAACTCCTGAAATTGTCCTCTGACTTACAGATGGGATGCATAGCACATGTGGTAATGGCACACGTGTTGAAATAGGTAGCGGCGGGGCTGCGTCCCCAGCACCCCGGCCACCTGCTAGCTTATGCCCCGAAATAACAACACACAAACTGTATTCATTTAAACACTGCTTGGCCTGTTATTTCTATCTAGCCTTGGCTAACTCTCGCACCTGGACTAGCCCATTTCTAATGATTGTAGCACCCCAAGGTGCGCTTACCGGGAAGATTCTAGCCTACGTCCATCCTGGGTCAGAGATGCCTGGGAGAGCAGAGCCTGGCATCTCTGCTCCAGAGAGCAAAGCTGTCGAGTCTGAGCTCACTTCCTCTTCCTCCCAGCATCCTATTCTGTTTACTCCTCCCACCTATGTTTTAACCTATCAGGGCCAAGGAGTTTCTTTATTGCTTAACCAATGAAATCAACAGATTGATATGACACTCCCACATCACACATGGACAAATGTGTGAACACACAGAATGAGTGTAAATAATGTAAAAAATAAAACTAAATTAAAAAATAAAAAACAGTTGGCATGTACTAGTTTTCCACCATCTTCTTTCCTGAGGACCACAGACAATCTCAGGGGGGCCCAGAGCCCTCTGATGGTATTTGCAGAATGTTTCCCTAAGGGGGGAGTGCATGGCTCTGCCCCTAAGGGAGAAGGATTGTGTGCTCAAGAAACCCTGAGTGGGGCTACTTCCTAGAGCTCTCCACGGACTACAGTGGGTATGGACCTGCTGCTTGACTTCAGTTACCATCCCACACGTGGGCCAGCAGTTTGGTTTCTTTTTCTTGAAAGAAACCTTAAACAGAGCAAAGGATCAGTTTCTTTAATCTTACTGAAAGATGACAGTACCTCTTTGTGTGAAGCTGTAATTTTTGAAGGTTTCTGAACTCTGGAGCAGAGTGAATAACTCATCCTTCCAGTTTGAGTGGAGACTGTGTCTCTGTTTAAGTATTTTCATGGTTACTGTGTGACAGAAATGTCACAATAAAGCTGTCTTAGGAGAACGTGTATATTGGAATCTAGATATTCCTGTCATGAATGCTCCACAAAGAATATGGTCCATATCAGACCCTGTTCAGGCATTGATAGGCACGGAGGTGATGGCAGGTGAAGGAGACATGGAACATAGAGCAGGAGGAAGAGCCTGAGTAACTGTGAACTTGGACACCATGGATGCTGAGTTTGCTAGTTTCAATCGAAGATAATAAAATTTGGAAATTAGCCTTTCAAAATGGATAGTTATAAGGAAAGGCCTGCATGAGAGTGAGCTAAAGTGTCCTGAAGATTGTTTGTATTTGTTTTGTTTTTTGTTTGTTTGTTTTTCGAGACAGGTTTTCTCTGTAGCTTTGGAGCCTGTCCTGGAACTAGCTCTTGTAGACTGGGCTGCCTCGAACTCACAGAGATCCGCCTGCCTCTGCCTCCTGAGTGCTGGGATTAAAGGCGTGCACCACCACCACCGGCAGCATCTTGAAGATTGTGAAGGCTGTGCAGGAAATGGTGTCTGCTCTTCTCTAGAAGGAGCTCAAGGGAGCCTTGTCTTTGCTGCCCTTGTTTCTCTTTGCCCAGACTGAGAAGAGCACTGAGTGGGAGAAGAGCATGCTGCCCATGAGCCTCGATTATTTTCTGACAGGATTTGTTTATAAATTTCCTGATTGCACAGATGTTTTATTTAGATGTGGTTTTTGTTTGTTTGTTTTGGTGAGTCACTTAGCAGCACAATAAAAGTTTACCCTCCAAATTGGGTAACACAGAGATGTGTAGTAGAGCTCTCCAGCTTGTGGTCTCCTATAAGTGTTTAATGGGAATCTTTGTGGAGACTGTAGCCAGACCCAAAGATTATACCCTGACCACCAGCTTTAGGATAGCAATGCCAGACACCAGCAGTACAGCTCTAGTCAGAGCAAGTGAGAGGATGCTCCAAGGTCAAAGCATGAGCAGAAAAAAAAATGCAAGCACTACTGCCAGCATGCTGCAAGCGTGCAACTGCTCACCACTTCTGCTTGAATCTCTTCATCTGTAGTTCCCTGGACCTGTGGACCAGGAGCAGATTGGAAAATGAGTAATGCTGATAATTGAAGCTTTGAGAACAAAGAAGCATTAGGCTTACAGTCATTTTCTAAGCTGAACATGTCTGCTTTATCATGCTGTCTGCAGTAGCTCATACTTTATATGTATGTATAGGTAATTTTAAAAACACAAGAGAATGGCTGAGCTTGGTAGCACACGCCTTTAATCCCAGCACTAGGGAGGCAGAGGCTAAGTAAATCTCTGGGTTCAAAGCCAGTCTGGTCTACAGAGCAAGTTCCAGACAGCCAGGGCTGTTATACAGAAAAATTAAAAAATAACAAATTCTGGGGGCTGGAGAGATGGCTCAGAGGTTAAGAGCATTGCCTGCTCTTCCAGAGGTCCTGAGTTCAATTCCCAGCAACCACATGGTGGCTCACAACCATCTGTAGTGGGGTCTGGTGCCCTCTTCTGGCCTTCCAGCATACACACAGAATATTGTATACATAATAAATAAATAATTTT